TTATCGACTCTACGCCAATTAGAGCTCGCTAATGGCATCATTAGAAGCGTGAATAATTTAAAATTATTTACGTTTAATTAAAATATTCTATAAGCTGACCGTAGAAATTCAAAGTAATCAGTATGACAGTTTTGGAATTAACCATCGAATAAATTCCCAAGTGACAGACAGAAACGGAAAGCCTGCATTTTTGTATTGGACAAACTGTGAAACTAACCCTTTTGTAATATGTATATGTCGGGATTCTCGTCTCCGTCTGTCTGTTCACGACTTTGACAGACAATGTTCTAAACTACTGGACTGATTAATGTGATTAATGTTCAGATATTACAATGCTAATCAATATTTGCCTGATTATCCTTACCCTTATTTTTTTACAATATAGGTACATCTAGATTTTTGAAAAAAAAAACAAATCAAAATTATAAAAAACATTTTTTTATTTAAATTAGAAATCATGTAAATATTATAAGCTTATCGTAAGCATCGTAAATCGCAAATGAAAATTTGTTTGTTTCATTTCCTCCAAAAACTTGATGACGCCATCTCAAAATCTTGCTGGATAAACCCTACCTAAAATTTATAGAATTCAAGGGCTTGATATTAAAAAATGAACGAATTAATTCATTTTATTGATTAAATAAAAAACGCTTTAGCTCATTTACCAAAAGTTATGGGTTAATTCTGATTAGTACTACACTGTATTCATCTAAAATATATACAGGGTGAGCCACTAGGCTAACTAACTAAAGTTGGACGTTTTTTTTGGTAGCCATACATCAAAATTATTTTTGACGATACACAACTTATTACTCCCCGAGCGTAAGCGAAATTGAGTTTGTCGACCAACACTCTACTTTTACGTTTTCTCGACCTTTCAAGACCCCTACAGTACGAAAAAATAAGTCTCCCGTTTCCGTCTGTCCGACTGTCTGCCAGAACGTTAATTGGCGATTCTGGAAAACCGGTTGGAGTTAAGAATTAAATTCACAAAATGAAATCTTACAATTTTTTGAAAAATCTGGATTTATTTACCTTCGATCAATTTTCCGATATTAGCATTTTTCGTTTTTCCTTTTTCTTCGATTTTAAATTTCCCGTATCACAATTTGTCGTTTTCTCATTTTCTTTCATTTTCAGTTTTTCAATTTTTCGATTTTACAATTTTTCGTTTCCTCAATTTTTCAAGTCCTTGATTTATGTTTTTCATATTTTCAATTTTTGATTTTCATTTTCTCGATTTTATAATTTTAAAATTGAAAAATCGAAACATTGAATAAAACTAGTGAAATTATTTCTTGAGAGCCAATAAGAATGAATCATGAAAACGGAATAAGGGTGGGTGGGAGGGGCGTCTGTCTACTTTGTTTTAAATCTTGGATTCTACCGCTTGTTAAAATAGAATTCAATTCACGTTGTACAGTAAATTAAATAAGTCGGTGAAATGGATACAAAAAGTGGGCGGAGCTGAGTTTAGGTTTTTCTAAAGTTTTATAAGCAAGCAGTAGCCCCGCTCATCGACCCCAGTGACTTCTCAGGTGGAAAATTGAAAATTTTAAACTTGAAAACTTGAAAAACTGCAAATCGAAAAACTGAAGAATAAATGAAGAATTGCAAAATTCAAGCAAAAAATCGAGTCTAGGGAAGTTCTCTCGCAATAATGTCCTACCATTTTTTTTTTTTTTGTAAAAGACCCTATATATTTTTACATATTCTCATTGGCCTCTTTCATGGTTTTATAACCTTAATATATTTTTGATATTATGATGTGACATTATCACACTATTCCAATTTTTTTGAATTTATTAGCAATACAAAGATTCAAAAATTCACTGCAATAATGGTATTCTTACTTCCTAAGTGTAAGGTAAGGAAGTATTGTAATTGAGTCTGTTGACCGACTCTCAGTTTTATGTTTTCTCGACGTTTCACAACCCCTACAGTACGAAGAAATAAGTCTCCCGTTTCCGTCTGTCTGTCTGTCCGTCCGTCCGTCCGTCCGTTCGTCTATCTGTCCGCCCGTCCGTCTGTCTGTCCGTCCGTCCGTCCGTCCGTCTATCTGTCTGTCCGTCCGTCCGTCCGTCCGTCTATCTGTCTGTCCGTCCGTCCGTCTGTCTGTCTATCTGTCTGTCCGTCCGTCCGTCTGTCTGTCTGCCCGTCCGTCTGTCTGCCGTCTCCGTCAAGTGGCGATTTTGGAAAATCGGTCGGAGTTAAGAATTAAATTGGCAAAATGAATAAATCTTACATTTTTTTGAAAAATCTGGATTTATTTACTTTCGATCAATTTTTTGATATTAGAATTGTTCGTTTTTCCTTTTTCTTCGATTTTAAATCGATTTTAAATTTTACAATTCACAAATTTCCTATTTTTTATTTTCTTTCTTTTTCAGTTTTTCAATTTTTCGATTTTACAATTTTTCATTTTTCGATTTTTCAGTTTCTCGTTTTTAATTTTTCGATTTTTCAAGTTCTTGATTTGTGTTTTTCATATTCTCGATATTTTCATTTTCACGATTTCATATCACAATTTTTCCTTTTTATAATTTTAAAATTGAAAAATCGAAAGATTGAATGAAACTCAGAGCCAATAAGAATGAATGATGAAAACGGAATAAGGGTGGGCGGGAGGGGCCTCTGTTTCCTTTGTTTTAAATCTTAGATTCTACGGCTTGTTAAAATGGAATTCAATTCACATTTTACAGTAAATAAAATAAGTGGGTGAAATGGAGACAAGAAGTGGACGGAGCTGAGTTTAGGTTTTTCTAACGAGTTTTATAAGCAAGCAGTAGCCCCGCCCACCGACTTCTTCTTCATTCTAGTGGCTACTCTTAATATTACTCAATCTTATCTTGGCAAGTACTAGCCCCGCCCACCCACCCTTTATTTTCTTAGAGGGTATGTGATTTGCCAAAATTTGTTTTATCTTAGCTGTACTAGGCCCGCCAACCCACCCTCTATCTTCTTAAAGGGTATGTGATTTGCCAAAATTAGTTTTATCGTAGCATGTACTAGGCCCGCCCACTATCTTAGGAAGTTCTAACAAAACAAAATTAAAAATTAAAAAAATTGCAAATCGAAAAATTGTAAATAGAAAAATAGTAAAATCTGAAAACTGAAACATCGAAAAATTGAAAAATAGAAAAACTGAAAAATTTAAAAATGGAAAAACAAATAAGAATGAAAAATTGAAAAATTGCAAATCGAAAAATTAAAGAAACGAGAAACTGAAAAAACAAAAAATAAAATCGAACAAATGAAAAGTTGCAAAATAGAAAAATTAAAACAATCAAAAGTTGGAAAATTAAAATTTTAAACTTGAAAACGCTAAAAATTGCAAATCGAAAACGTAAAAAATTGAAGAATTGAAAAATTCAAGCAAAAATCGAACTGTTAAAATAATTTTTTTTATAAAAACACCCTATATATATTTGCATATTCTCGTTGGCCTCTTTCAAGGTTTTACAACCTTAATGTATTTTTGAAATTATGATGCGATATCGCCACATTATTCCAATTTTCTTGAATTTATTAGCAGTGGATTAAAAAAATCACTGTAATAATGTTATTTTCACTTAATAAGCGTAAGCCAAAGTATCGTAATAGGATCCATCGGACCACTTGTTATTTTCATGTTTTCTTGACGTTTCATGAATCTAAGATACGAAAAAATAGGTCTTTCGTTTACGTCTGTTATCGTCTGTGTCGATTTTTAATAGACCGATTTTCTTTTTTCTTTTTTTTTTTCTAGCCAGTTTGATGACTTCCCCTCAATTCTTTTACCGAACCCCATTTAAATTTTTTAAATTTCATTACATAATATCTTCCTATATTCGTGGTTTATGAATCCGCCTAGATTTTTCACCCCAGGCATCAAAATTTTCGCAAAAAATCCAGACTGTGTAACAGGTTCTTTTAAGCAACGTTGAACACAACGATTCCATACCGCAGCGGTTAAAGTTGCCGATCCAAAATCCTCGAATTTGTGCCTTTTGTTTTTTTTACTTCCAAGCTCCTAGAGTATGAAAAAATAGGTCCCTGTTTCCGTCCGTCCGTCCATAAAATTCGACCAAAATAAGATTTCTGGCTAAAACTTGATGGTTTCCTTGGTATTTTCGAACCTATACGGTGCCGGAAACACTAGAAAATAAAAAAAAAGCTTGAAAAGTAACATTTATGGAGTTTTGTTAATTAATTTCAAGCATCTACAAACTCCAAAAAGTGGAAAATTAACCCAATCGTTCGCAAAATAAGTCGATTCTGTATAACGCAAGTACGATATGTCCATCAGAATCGTTAAAACAAGTCGAAATATATTCAGAAATCATAAAATTCAACACAAATAATATTTATAGCTAAAATTTGATGGTTTCCTTGGTATTTTGGGGTCCGCTGGATGTCCAAAACGCAGGAAAATACTTGAAAAGTAACATTTCTGAAGGTTTTTTAACGAATTTCTTGAATCAATGAAGGCCAGAATGTGTAAAATTAACCCAATTGTCCCCTTTTCGCAAAATAAATCAATTCTGCACATAATCTTCGAAACTACCAAACCGATTGTTGTCAAAATTTATATGGATGTTAGAAATATCGGGTAGATATCGTCTTGAGATTTTCCACGAAAAATACACATTTTCTAAAGAAAAAAAAAACAACACTTTTTAGATAATATAAGCCTACATTTCTATTTTTGCGAAAGTGTCAAGTTTTGTTGAAAATAATTGTACCTGAATCTGCGGGATTTTATTCGTTAATTAGTAACAAGTCTCATGTATTACACTCCATCATATCTAATTTCCAAATAACGCTTGCCATTTCCTCGACTCGAACTAAACCGAAACACTGCATTTGGTGCGCCCCTAATTGATAAATCGTTGCACGAGGCGTCGGTCGTGCGATCTGTAACTCGCAATATGGGTGTGTGGCTTTAATTCGATAATAACTCATCGCTTCAGCGGTACCAGAGCTGGGAATTTGTTATTTATGACGTGATTTCGTTGCAGATTAAATTGGAGAAGGTGTTAGGAGTGACGGTATCTAGCAATGCAGCTTTGGCCTCGGATAGCAACGGAACAATCGCCTATCCCGCAGGGTAAGATCGTAATTGCATGAGTTTAGAGATAAGGTTGTGGTTTTGTTGGCGTTGTGACAGCCGGTACCCATACGTGTGCGCGTACACGAACAGGTGTATCGTAACCAAGTACCGGAACTCTTAATGGATGAGTACGGAAAATAAATAGAGGCTTTCACTTGCGATTTATTTACCGCGTGTGTGTGAAAACTGCAAGTGATGATGATTAGAAATTCAACGGAGGGTTTCTTTTTTGCTGGCTCTTATTAAGAGCGAGTTGGATTAGCCGGGGATCAGACGCCGGGGATTCGGGGTTTATGAAGCTGGTTGGCTATTCCGTCTGGAGTTTATAGATTTCGAGATGCTGCGTTTGATGCTGGAATACCTTGTTAGGGTGAGAAACGGTAAAAATATGTTCTTTGGCTGGAAAGAAGGGTTGGGGTGGAATATTTAAGCTGTGGCGGTTGCGAATTGCGTGCTTTGGGTGAAACGGATAGTTGTGTGGAAGGAATGACGATCAACAAACGCATCATCTGGGCGAAAGAAGGACATCTTTAAATAACTACCTATCAATAAAAGTAACAATTGGTGCTATGACCCTGCCAACATATACTTTTATAGTTTGGCGCCTAGAACAATGTGCTTTCACAAGGTTATAGGTTTTACCTGCGGTCAAATTTCTTCCCTTTTTACGTTGCGGAAGCCAGTCACAGCAGATGTTTATGTGCTGATTTATTAATATGCATGGTATAAATTATAGAAGCGATATAAAATTTGTTGTTTATTGGTTGGTAGTCTACTTATGTAAATCAATTTATTGGGGAACTAACTACATGATTGAATAATCAAAAGCCACAAGTCAATTGACATTTAATTGAATTAGTTTTAAACGTTTTAAATAATGTATTTTATTTTGAAACGTCATATAAATAAAGACTAATGTGACATTGTTGACAAGGTATAGGTGTCATCGCGATATAAATAATTGTTGCACATGAAACAGTTTGAACTGAATAAATTATCAAAATTGTCTCTTTATTATTGTGTGTATTTAGGAATCGATATCTTGTAGTTTCATTTTTACGATACACCGTTTACCGAACATATGGAGTTGTAAAAGTAGGTGATTTTCATGTGTTCATTTTCACACAGCTAAATAAATTGCACTCGTCCTTTCTGCTTAGGTTGACACGAGTTTTCACTCTTGTGTCTCGTGTCGTCGTGCTTGTTTTTAGTTTTCTCACATTTTTCCTGTGCTTTATTTTGATCGTTTATTCGATACGCTCTATAAATCAGTCTTTTTAAAAATCCTTACTGTGTTCAGATCCCGATTCAGAATTTAGTTTTCTCGTGATGAATATTTTTTTAATTGTAAAAAACTAATAAAATGTATTTTTTTTTATTCATATTGAAGTACTTCTACTCAGTTGGCTTTGCAAACACGTGAATTGCACGTGATCACTCCATTTCTTCGGTAAACAGACTAGTTCATCACAACTGAAAGCTCCGGAAATTCCAAACAATAGGACAATGTGGAAAAAAGTGGCTTTCTCCACTGTGTAAAATACTTTACGTACATTATCTAGATATTTTTCATTCCGTGCCTTTGCTAAACTGGCGTTGAGAGTAGCTGATTTTTTAGCGAGATAATTTTTTAAATGTCCACTTTCTGAGTAATTTGAAGGTGTAATCACGAGATTGAGAAGTGGCTGGACAATGAAGAACTTTATATTTAAAAATACCCTAGAGTACGAAAAAGTAGGTCTCCCAATTGTTATCAAATTTTGTATGTACAGAGTAAGCTCCTAAGCACACGTTCCTCGATATTTCATGAATTATTGGAAATAGAAAAAAGTCAAAGTTTTTTAGATGAAACGAAAGTTTGACAAAAAAATCACAGTAGGGTCATTTTTAAATTCTGTGCGATAATATTTTGCGGAGAGATAAATAAAGCTACGTTATTTGTTGTGATAGCAATAAAATAAAATTTTCATATACAGAGTGTTTATAAAAATATTACAATTTTCAAGTATCGATATTTCCGATATTTCAGTTTTCAAATAGAACGCCCTGTATTTTGTTGTAGTATTACATGTATGTTTGTTTTTATAAACACTATTACTTAATTAATTATTAAACCTTAATGAGCTTTTTTATGAACCCTTCCATTACTAAAAAATTTCAAGAAAATTGAAATAACGTGGTAACGTCGCATCCGAATTTCAAAAATAAACTATATCATTATAAAACCTAGTGAGAATATGTGAAAATATATAGGGTGTTTCATTTACAAAAACTAAGTTGCCTTGGGAACAGAGAACATTCTGTATAGTAAAAAATAATTTTAGAGTATAGTCCTCAAAGAACCGGACAAATTTTATTTTTGTTTTTTTTTTCTATCTCTAATACTAATTAATGAGATGTTAACGACCGAGCTTAGTGACTCGCCCTGTATATTGGGAACATCATGTAGATAATAAGACGTGACCAAAGTTTTATTTTTGTGGCCATCGACAGTTTTATGACATCTTGACAACATTTGTGGCTTATGATTCCACCTTGATTTTGTTTATTATTATTATAATTTTTATTGTTTAATTTTACTAATTGTACTTTACAAACATAACACGAAATTTGACAAGCGGCTCTAGTGGACTAGATAATCGAACGCCCGCATTACAAATGAAAGGCCCGGGTTTGAACTCGGTACCCTGGCATTTCTAATTATTATTTTTTTTTTTTGATGAAATCAAGAACGGTTCACGTAGTTGTTTTGGAAAATGTAAGAGTAGAGTGTTGTCGCGCTCACTTATATTTACCAATAACATAATAATAACAGCTACTCGCACAAAATAAAATTAATTAATTAATGCGTAATAGTCGAATTCCTTTGAAGTGTAAACATAACTAGTCGAAGTTAAGCACGTACTCTGAGAATACATTTTTCCTTTTTGTTATCTGCTTTAAATTCCTCTTGGAATTTGCGCCCAACTTATAGAAATTATCATAAAAAAAGTTGCTGCTGCAACTTGCTTCAGAGTGCATGTCGGGTCAACATCTTCATTATTACATTAATTAATTTACGAAATAAATCATTGTGAGTCGAAAGAATTTGTGAATCGCTAAAAAACACTCAAAATTTATAGTTAAAATAAAAATATAATGCCTTATTTTTATTTTAATCGTAACAGTCATAAAAACTATTGCAAAGTCGACGCAAATCACCTTAATAGTTCCAGTTTTTTCTTGAAAAATAATAATCGTTAAGTAAGTCTTAATTTGTGTGACGTTTGAAAATAAAATGTTGTGTTTAATTTGGAGTATAAGTGACTTTATGGCACTCGAATAGACCTAGGATTAGCCCCATCCACTAACCCTTTATTTTCCTAGAGAGCAGATTATTTGTCAAAATCAGTCGTATCTTGGCAGGTAGCAGTCCCGCCCATCCACCCTTTATTTTCTTAGAGGGTAGGTGATTTATCAAAATCAGTTTTATCGTAGCAAGTATTAGTCCCGTCCACTCGCCTTTTATTTTCCTAGAGAGTAGATTGTTTGCCAAAATCAGTCTTGTCTTGGCAAGTCCTAGCCCCGCCCACCCGCCCTTTATTTTCTTAGAGGATATGTCATTTAGCAAAATCAGTCTTATCATAGCAAGTCCTAAATAAGTAGAGTTCCCTCAAACATGTAAGGCGTTTATGACTTCACACCAATTTGACTCCCATTATAATTCAATAGGCCGTCACAACCGGATGTCTTAAACCCGCTCACCGATACCTACCTGAAAAGACCTTTTCTGGTAAAAGCACAGGGCAGGACTGAGTTTTGCATTTACCGACAACTGCGCCTTTCGATTTTTTTATTTTAAGTAAAAACAAAGTAACTTTGTACTCAATCATTTTTTATTACAGCAAATTAGTTAGAATTTTGACATACACAACTATTTACTTATTAACTACTACTGCTTATTTATTGATCGAAATTGTCACTGTCATCATCACTCGACTCTTCTGAATTAACAATTAACGGTTTTATCAACCGAGCCCTGTACTGGTCTTTTCCTGAATTTATTCTTCAAGAAGGCACTGTGTTTTGTAGCTTCTGCTACAAACCGCATTTCTATTTACAAATATATGTTTTCGGATCATCGGCAAAATTTTTTGCTACAATATTTCTAAAAGTATTTAAAAATAAATTGCTACAAAAATACTAATTAAGTGGCCTATTATTATTAATTTTTATTTATTTGTCACTATTTAGTGTAAGACAATAATTTTTAAAAATTTTATTTATCTATGTATTTTTTATTAAAAAAATTAAGCTTGATAAACCTGTTTTTATAATTTGTAAATAAATTTAGTTGTGTTATTACACTTCTTTTCAATTTTTGGAGGATATGCAACTGCATATCTCTGCATATATTAATAAAGTTACAGCATATTTGCATACATTTCATGCATATTACATGATCATATTTCTCAAAATTTTGCTGCATACTTTTCGCTCTCTGGTCATGTATTATTTTTAATATAACAGCAATATGAATGTACCCTCTGGATTTGAAACAAAGGACGGTGACATCGTCAAAATTATTTGATTTATCAAAAACTTAGTGGACCAGTTTTCTATGATTGCTATCGTACTTATTAAAGATTTTATGTTTTTTGCTTTCAGTATCTTAATAATATTTTCAAATGTGCAGAATAATGATTAAATAAATAAGGTACGGAAGAAACGTTAAAAACAAAATTACTCTTAGTCCGGTCCTTCGCGTCTCGGCCATCCCTGGCACGTGGCATGGTTTACATTTACTAAGCTTTATGAAGGGTCGGCTGTAAAGTACTTTAAACGTCAAAGCCATAAACGCCTTATAGGTTTGAGGAAACTATATCTGAACCAGTCCTGACCAGATGACATACTCGGTTGGAAATCCCTAAATTTTACGCTACTTAAGATAACTATTTGCAAACACTATAAGAAGATAGCAACTAAAAAAATCAGAATATATTACAATTTTCATTTTT